AGGATAAAAATCCAAATTCCTTAGGTGTCCAAAGTCCTCGTGACCCATCTTCTATTTACAAATCCCCCATTCTACCCTAGCCTTATTTTGTTTCTCAGATTCTTATACCTTTTTTCTAGCCATTTTTACAATTTCTTCAGCCACCTTCTGTTAAATGCCTGCGGGTCTTTGCACATGTGTTTCCTTTTCCCACCACACAATATCAAGGGGAATCTCTTCTATAAACTCTATTGAATATCCAACTCCAGCCCAAACAGAAAGGATCCCTTCATTCTTTGGGCCATCTCTGTGTCTTGTATTACAGAAATTACCATAGTGTGCTGTGATTATTTCCTTCTGTCTCCTCTAAAATACTCTTTGGAAGAAGAGCAATGCCGTTTCTGCAGGTGTATATAGGGAGGGTGTGCAGTGTAATATGGCCGCAGGTGAGCTGCAGCTGAACGGCTCCTGTTGGCTCCTGCTTTGCCAGACAAAGGAGAAGAACCCTTCGTGCTTATATGTTTTCTACTTCCCATTCAGTGACCATAGGCTAGTAACTTGAAACTGACCAGGATGGGAATAATAATACCACCACAGGCTAAATCTCCTCCTGGAAGCACTCTGGAAGAGTCCTCCTCTTATTGGTGTGCATGTGCTCAAGATCTAGCACTCATTTCTATATATATCGTCTGAAATCTTGTTTTGTTAGGTGCTGTGCTAGGCACTGAGTATGTACAAAAAACAAAAAAAATCCATGTTAAGGGACAAAATAGATACAAGCACAAAGTGGGATGGAATACAAAGAACTGAACCTGGTTTTTATCAGAGAACAAAGAGTCCGTTTGTCATGAGATAATGACAGCTGTATTCTAAACTCCAAAGATGTGGAGATGGTTGGGTTTTGGTCTAAGAAGAACATATAAGGATTTATTTTTAAAGCAATTCATAATTTCAAAATGTAATGATATTGAGAAAGATTCATCAGGTAAAATAGAGGAAAGAAAGTTTACTGCAGAGGAAGCATCTAATTTTCAAGATCATTAGTTAAAATTCTTATTATACTGAACTTGGTATTGATATTGTAATATAAAAAGGTATATAATCAATTGTTTAAGGAGCAAGATTTAAAATGAAGGTGACAAATTGTCAATATACACTCAAAGTACAAATAATAAAATTTCCCACTTAAACAAATGAGTACTTTCAGATTCTCAAATTAGTTCACAGAGAAATAACATCAAAGATCAAAATAAGAGAAAATATTATACACCATTAAAAAACCCAGCAGTGACGAGCATTTTAAAGCCATATAATATTGGTCTAAAATTGTTAAGATTTTTAATTCTAAAGCAAATAGCAAGAAATCACACTTTAGAAACTTAATTAAATTTGTTATTTACTTTTTCAGAGATTCAGTCTTCATTTTCTCAATAGAATAAAAACTGATGATGTGCTTTAAAAGGAAAAATAGTAGGTAGCAAAAGATCATCCTTTTTATATTTGTATTTGTTTAAGAATATTTGCTAAACATTCTGGGAAAGAAACTAAGATTTTGGAAAATGAGGATCCCTTAAATATTTGATTGTCTGAGTTTCTACACACAAATATTGTAGCTAATTGTACAACTCAGAGTGGTTTAGGAAATTCTGATTAATGGAACACTCTCTATTTGTATTGTTAAACATTAGTCAATGGTACACAAGCTAATATTGCTACATTATTCAACAAGATAGACAATACTGTTGAGAAGACCTTTCAAGAAAGGTTGACTAAAGGGCCTCCCCTGGTGGTGCAGCGGTTGAGTGCTGGACTGCGAAACTGCCCGAAGCTTCGGTAGTGCCAGCTCGATCCCCGGCCACCTGCGAGGGTCCCACAAGGTGTGCAGACCTCTCCTGCCACACCCGCTGCTCCCCTCAGCAGTGTACTTCGTCAGTCTGCCTGTTCTGTTCCCTGCTCTGGCTCTGGTGAATTCTCTCACTCTCCTATGCTTCAGACTGTACCCAGTGGTTGTATAAATAAATAAATCTTAAAAAAAAAAAAATAAAGTTGACTAAAGATCATTTTTCAAACCAATAACCAAAGAAGTGACTCAGAAAGTGTACTGGGAATTTTTCCCTTTCCATTTAATGTTAGTTACATAAGTGAGTACTTTCAGAATAGCAATTGGCTTATGAGCATCACAAAACCTACATGATTGCTCAGCATATTTCAAACACATAAATCCAAAGAATAATATGCAAGAGGACATTTAAAAATATCTGTACTCTCCTTAAAGTCAATACAGTGGAAACAGCTTTGCAATTTGGAGTGAAAAGTACAAAATTCTATGGTTAACCACTTTTCATTCATGTTTTAAATCAACTAGAAGACAATTCTGGATCATAAAGGTTGAGTCTATATGCTTTTATATTCAGAAATGCAGAAAGATAAACACAAAAGAGTTAAAAAATCAATTGCCAAGTCTACCAGGAGTTCAATATACAGAGGAGAAATCTAATTGCATAAACACAAAAATTATCTATTGGATCTATCATCTATTTATCTATCTACTTATCCATCTATCAACTATCTATTCACATATGAATTTTTTTTCAAGGAAAGAGTTCAAATTGTGTTCAATTAGCCACTTTTATTCCCTTCCAAAACTAATTTAAAAAAATCAACGGTCAAAGAAAATTTAAAAATTCTAACCCCAAACCCAGTCCTCAGATATATTATGGCTGGGAGAGGATAGGTACTGACTTATAGATGGGAGAAAATAATTCCAGTCAAGACAGCAACAGGAATCTAGTAGAAATACTAAAAAATACTTTATTAAAGACCTATGTTGCAAAAACGAAGTAAAGGTAGATATCAGAAATAAAAAATTATGTGGGCCTCCCTGGTGACCTAGGAGTTAAGTCTCAGTGCTATGGCAGTGAGGGCCTGAGTTCAATCCCTGGTCAGGGAGCTAACCCACATGATGCAGCAGACCTCTCCTGTCTTGCCTACTGCTCCCCTTAGCAGTGTATTTCAGTAAATCCCCCTGTTCTGCTCCCCACTCTGTCTCTGGTGAATCCTCTGTCTCTGCCCACACCTCTGCTACACCCCAGTTCTTCTATGCATAAATAAATCTTTCAAAAAAATTACAAATTATGAATGTGGGTTATACAATCTGACTCCAATCAGAGGATCTTCGCACACAGATATATTTTGTTTGTTATCAATAGGCTACCAAATAAAAAGAGCTTCTGTCACACTTCATCACATGCCATCACTACATTAAAATTATTTGTAAAATCATTCTGATTTGCAGTGTTTGCTAATTTTTCATGGCATAAACACAAAGAAGGATATGAAGTTTCATCTTTAAATTATTCAAGAATCTTTGGCAAAGTAGAGCAGGCACAGTTACTGTTACAAGAGCATGTACAATTTTTACCATAAAATAAAAATAGCATGCTCATTTCCTGGGTCACTGTCATCTGATAGTGATCATATACTCCCAACATTAAAAATGGGTTTTACTTCCTGTATGTGAACTAGACTACAACACTAAAAGAGTAACAGGGCATTACAGGATAGAGTCAGAGAAAATTGGTACAGATTCAGTGATTTGCTCATAAATGTTATATTTTGGTACTTGACTTATCTATATGTCTAGCTCTCCTAACTTTCCCTGTTTTGTGAACACCATTCAGATATTTTTATAAAATGCTTTCACTTATATATTTGATAATGTCCTGGTAAACTGGCATTCTGAAAACCAACAAGCAAACAAACAAAAAAGGCCGGATTTGTAGCATTTGTCTATTTCCACATGTAAATAATCCCAACCATGTTATTATGTTATGCCATTAATGTTATGCCATTGAATGCAAAACTGGAAAGACATGTGCACAGCATATCTTGTGAGTTGGTACTGATTCCAACAGAACACTATGATGAATAAATATTGCCTCAGATCTATGTTTATTCTAACAGTCAATAAAAACATCCAGGAACTTATTTGTAGATTCTAACACATTAAATTTAACAAAATGACAGTGAATTAATTTTAACATAACTGAAATTTTTAGCAAACAACACCAGGCAATAGGTAACATTTTATTAAACTAAAAATAACAGAAAAACACTTTTCAAATAAGTTTTAGTTAGAGTAAAAGTTTAAAGATAGGGTAAGGCTACAAAGTAAAAAAAATACAAATAGTGTCACTGAAAGTCTGTAAATTTTATCTTAGTTTGGATACTGTTAGTGATCATATCATCTAGTTGACAAGTGAAAATTATAATTTTATCTTTTGAAAATAAAGTTGCAATATTTAATTGAAAGGAACATAAATGCATGTTTATTTACATATTTTATGATTCACCAGATACATATTTAAAGTTCATCATTTTAAAATGACAATGATGCTATGAAGTAGATAGTGTCTAAAGGAAGAGCATACCTAGCTCAGGAGTTGACAAACTTTTTCTGTAAAGGCTCAAAGAATATGTATTTTAGGCTTCATAGTCCACTTAGTCTTTTCTTGACTACACTTCTACTACGTAGATGGAAAATACCCCTGCATAATCTGTACATCAATGATCCTATATTCCAGTAACTCGGTTCACAGAAAAGGCTGCAGATTAATTGGGCTGTGGGTCATTCACTGTTTGCTGACCTGACACTAGCATGTACTCAATCAGCAAATATTTTTAAGGTTCTGATTTCAATATAATTTTTCTTAGCATTTATGAAGAATTAATCCTGATAAAGCATTTAAAAAAATATTGCCCCAATAGGTTAAAAAAAAAATCACTAATGTTTTTAAACAAGAGATTCCATAGTGAATCAACTGCCAAAAGGACAATGCAATTGAAAATAAAATTAATGTAGTTGTGGACATACCTTATTTTATATTACTGTGTCAAATTTCATAATTAGCCATAAGAGGAGAGGTTTACTTAGACAGCAAGGAAAGAAGAACTTTGCATATTAAATTGAAACAAATTTAATATGATCATAGTCAACTTTATTTAGATATCCTTATCCTTACCTTCCATAAGTTTCCCTGTCTGTTCTGCACTTCCCCCAGGAAGAATCTTGGCAATATAGGCTCCAATTTCTCCACCATGTCCAGGATTTCTTTACCACCCACAATTCTAATTCCTAATCCATTACCTGTATTGAAAATCAGCAAATTATTAGCAATAATTTAAAGGTAGAGCAGTTATCACAAATTATAAGGTACACAGAAAGTATACTCTCATACCCAGAGGCTAACTGAAACATGAATATTGGAAGTGTACACCAGTAACAAAGGATATTATTCTGATTTCAATAATAGTTAATAGGAAATAGGATTTTCTGAGATCTGGACTTTCAGATATCATTTTAGACAAGGTGTACAGTGATTAACCTGATAATAACAAATACTTTTTTTGGATTCAGCAGTGCCACCAAGATATGATGCAAATATTTTATACATTGCCAGATACCTTATAAAATTTTGTATAGATTTTCCATAAGAAATTTTACAGCATACAATTCACTTATGAAATTGAAGAGCATTTTACTTACAAAAAGGCCTTAATGGATACAAGAAATTGAAAAGACAATCCAAATATGAAAATAATTATAAATGATAACATATGATTATAACTTATGAATTATAAGTTCAATTTTTAATCTAAATTCATCAATTATCAGTGTGTATCAACATGGCACTTTATCATGAGACACAAAATAATTACTCTTAACTGATAAACAATTTAGTAAACTGTTCTGTACTCCTTAGAACAGATTTTTCTCTAATTGGCCACATGGAATAAAGCTGGAGAATGATTATTATGAGGAATCAAATTGAGATGGAAATTAACTGTTGATATTATAAATTTATTATTTTATCAAAATTAGCATGTGTATAAAATACCAAATATATATATTTTTTCAAATGTCAAGATATTTTAAAATGGAAACATTAAAAGAAAGCAGAACTGTTTTCATTAAATGGAAACAGCTAATTTTCTCTTTATATTTCTATTCTTCCCATTCAATGATTGAAGCACTGTTTTCAACTCTTAAATTCTCCAAAATTCAAAAACTAGGTCTCTTCCAAATCCTGTTCCCTTCTCACCTTACTCTTCAGAACAATCTCTAGTAATCACCTACACAGTTCAGACAAATACACAGTAACATTGAATCTTGCCACTCTGCTGGCTATATTTTGGTGAAACATTGGCTCATTTCCAGATGATATGACAGTTTCAAATGAATCTAGTCTCCCCATTCTTTCTCCCCTCCTTCTCAACCTTGTCTTTATCCTTTCTTTCCTGTAATTCCCTTCTTCCCCCCCCCCTTCTTCTCTGCTACCTGACCCTATCTCTGTTTGGTCATAGGGGTAAAGGTGAAGACTTAGCTTCAAGCAAAAACATAAATGAATGGTTATTCCATGGATTTATCTGAAAAAAAAAAAAAAAAAAAAAAAAACAGATTCTTAATCAAAGATCTGGTTCTACTTTCCATGGCTGAATCACTGACAAGGTATAATTTATCATTTATTAAATATTTCATAAAACCTCACAGAGAAAATGAGTTTTAATGTGGTTGGCATATCCACATCAAATTTAAGGCAGGGTAAGTCTGAGATTCCAAAAGGTAATTCGTAAGATTTTCCTATTTTGAAATGTATGTAAAGACCCTGGCATATCAAAATTTCTCACAATTTATACAATGTAGAGTATAGGAGGGTAGAGTCTACAAAATATTGGTCATTTCTTTACAACAACATAGCCCAAGAAAGATGGTTTCATCACTATGTAATACATGGTGCAACCATTTGCTTAGAACCCACAAACGGACTTAGGATAGCTACATGTTGCAAAGGTTTAGATAAGAGAGTAGTTGTAGTAGTTGTAGTAGTTGTAGAACTAATTAGCATAAGTGACTTTCAAAATAATTGGTTATAGTTTCACTCTGATGATAACAATGTTTTGAGGGTTAAGCGATTTAGTCCTTAATGGTGTTTAATTTTAGTGACTGCACACTATATTTTTAAAATGTGCAGTCACTAGAATTAAATGATCGATGATCAGAAACTATAATCATATCCATCTTAACTAAGTAGTGCACACACTATTTCTTTTTGAATTCATATACTCAAAAACACTTTCTAAATATGCTTTGTAAAAATGAACAATGATGTAAGAAAATACAGTTTAATGAAAAAAATAAATTAAATATATTTTGCAATTCTCAGTCTATTTGGTAAAATTGGGGTAATAAATAATCATAACTATATTATGAGAAATGAGAAACTATTTCAGACACATAGTTAATTTTCAAAAATTACTATTCCTCCAGTTAATATTGCTGTGGTTACTGCTATTGTTTTTCATGTATGCAATAAAATAGGACAGAAATAATTAAAAATTTGTGAAAGAATAGACTGTCAGAAAATAAAAAGACTCAGGAAGGAGAATGTTTTGTTTATTTTACACTAGTTTCATGAATCTTAAAGTGGATGTCATGAATGTAATTTTACACAATCTAAAGTAAATGTTCTTAATGTTATACATGATAATTAGTCTTTCTAGTCTTGCAACACAGCCAGTCCATCATGGAACTAACTTTACATAAGCAATTATCTTTTTTTTTTTCAAAGCAAAATAATTTCTTTGATTTGTTTCATACAGCTGTGTTTCTGGAGCCAGAAGATGGACTTCTAACTAAAAAAAGAGACTCATTTCATGAGCACTACATTTTATCCTTTTTTTCTCATCATTTCTCTCTAAGAGAAGGAGAAATGATATTGGTTGAATGCATATCAAATATAAGATTCTGTATTAGGTTCAACTGCAATTATGTGAGATATATAGAGCTGGTTTTATTTTATAGATAAGGAGATTTATAGCCAAAATTTTAAAAAGTGATATAGCTGGATTCCAACTCAAGTGTTTCTGGATCCAAAACTCATTACCTATTCTCTCAATTTTGCCATCTTGTATTAGAATAAAAGACTTTCAAAATTATTGTGATGTTGTTGATAAACACCTAATAAACATATATTTAAAAATATATTTCTAGACCTCCCCGGAGGCGCAGCAGGTTGAGCACAGCACTGTGAAGCTGTCCGCAGTCTCTGCAGTGCGGGTTCGATTCCTGGCTGGCCAGGCAGATACCCACATGGCGCGGCAGACCTCTCCTGTCTGTTGCTCCTCTCAGCAGTGTATTTCGTCAGTCTGCCTGTTCTGTTCCCCGCTCTGTCTCTGGTGAATCCGCTCACCCTCCCACGCCTCTGGCCTGTATTATCCCAGCTCTTGTCTGAAAATAAATATTTTTAAAAAATAAATAAAAATAGGGCCTCCCCGGTGGCTCAGCGGTTGAGCGCTGGGTTGCGAAGCTGCCCGCAGACTCTGCAGCGCCGGTTTGATCCCTGGCTGCTCCCCGGCCACCGGAGGAGGGTCTCACATGGCGTGCAGACCTCTCCTGCCGCCTGCTGCTCCCCTCAGCAGTGTACTTCGGTCCTTCTGCCTGCTCTACTCCCTGCTCTGGCTCTGGTGAATCCTCTCACCCTCCTGCACTTCTGACTGTACCCAGTGCTTGTATGTATGTATGTATGTATAAATCAATCAATCAATCTTTAAAAATAAATAAATAAAAATATATTTCCACTCTGTGTTTCTCAAAGTATGAGCAGGCATGACTCCCAAGATGATTTCAAGGGTCTACAAGGTCAGAACTATTTTTGTTCTGCTAAGGCAGATTTACCTTTCCATTCTTACTCTTTAGTGAGTACACAGGAGAGTTTTCAAAGATTATATGATGTGTCTTCATAACACATTGTGTATAGACAGGCATCTATTAAACTCAGTATCAAGCAGATTTGTATTTTATGCATGGATTTCACAAAAATATAAATAATGACACATTTGTACATTACTTATACACATATATACATAGGTAGGGAAATGACCAATAAAGTTAATAAATTATTTGGCTTTGTCTCAGTTGTTTTTAAAACCCAGTGAGGTTAGTCTCTCAGTTCTAATACTTATCAAATCATGGTCAATTTTGTTTCATCTATATATTTACTATTGTCCACACCACCAGTTCTAAAGCAAATTCCAGATAAGATATAGTTTCATCTGTAAATATTTTAGTATGATCCTCTAGTAGATACACTGACTTAAAAATTACTATCAACATATTAATGATAGTTACAAAATAACAAAGTATATTGTAATATCACCAAATACTTAGTAAATCAAACTACCCTTTTGATTGAATAGCAACTGACAGAAAGAGTAAGCAGGTATATAAATGCGCTCTCCCAGGTTTTGCCTGTTGCTAGTTTAGAACTTCTAGACACTGATAAAGATCATGATTTCTGGTTCTAATGTTGCATGTACATGCATTTAAATAACTTTGAAGACTTAACTGAAACAAATACAAATTGTTCCAAAACAATTTATTACAAAATTGTGCCTGAGTCATAATAAAGTTTGGTAGTTATCAATGTTGCATAAATACAATAGAGAAATGCTTTTATTATTTTAGGTAGATATCAAACTGAAAAGGGCAAGCAGAGAGATGATATAGTATTTTGGTAGTATTTATTGCTCAAAACAATAATCGTATTTTTTTCTGTGAAATCTAAAAACAGAGAAAAGAGTATCTAGTTTTCAGACTTGAATAGTTATAAGAAGATAATACAGTTGAATAATTACTTTAATATAGAATAAAAGAACAACACAGCTAGAATACAGATAAACTGATACAGAGTCCTGATGATTAAATAGAAACAATTTGAAGAGTTCTGTTATACAACCTGCAAAAATAATTTGGCACTGCTTGAAAGTATTATGTTGTTTTGCTTTGTGAGCTGGAGGAAACTGAAATAGTCAGTAGCAAGTAATTATCTCTATAAGAAGAGCCCTGGATTTTTAGATTCAACCTTAGAATTTCATCAGTACTTAAAATATAGTCTGCACATAATAAAGTATGAAGGTTGAATTATCCGTCTCTGGTAAAAGAAAAATTAGCCAATCTTAAAAGAAAAATGACAACATTAGACTCCTAATCGATTCATTTTCTGTGAAGACAGAGGAGAAAATTGCTCCAAGCAAAACCTGTTCCAATACACATGCTCCATGGTCTAAAACCTGCAAGGAACAGCAGCAAGACCACAGGAAAAAATACTAGTTTTTCTTTGTTTTATTATTTCTTAAAAAAAAAAAAACACCTCTAGCATAGGTTTACTATATTAAATCTGCCTGCCTGCCTGCCTACCTATCATCTGAAGTTTTTTGAAACACACATTTTGACATAAAAAGTAGTGATTTCTAAAATTTACTGTCATTTAAATTGAAATCCAAATACATATTTCAATCCCACATTAAAATAAGGACCAGATTGCTTTATTTCCTTTACCTGAAACTGTGTGATCCTTAGAGTCCCTTACTATTTTTATTCTTGCGTGAGGAAAGATGTAGTGTATAGTCTTCCCGTTCATCTGTATTATCTAAGACATACATGTGATAAGGTGAAAAAGCAATGTTAAAGTTACTTAAAATACAATATACAGAATTAGGCATGCTTATTTAAAATAACATTGACTCAATCAATGAAAATATATTAGAAGCTTCTCAAATGATGACAAAGCATTTTATACTATATAATGATATTATTGGTTACTGAGTTCCTATTTTCTTAACATTTATAACCAATTTCTCTTATGCACTGATTTTTTTCTGCTTGGAAAATTAATGAGCAAATGTAATTGGCTCTAAGGATGTCTGTTAGTATATAAGTGTATAGTAAATAGTGATGACAATAGATAAAGAATATGGAAAACTGATAGTTAATGATTTTACTCTGAATAGCCTAGAAATGGAGAAGTAGTTTTAATTTTCAGTGGTTAAGTGGTACTAGAGGAGTAGAATCAGAAGAGATCCTCATATTCTGCATCTCACCACGTATTAGAATTGCTTTTCATTTATTTTGCATTGATTTTATTGAAGAAATGGGCCTTTGTTGAGAAAATCTATTAGAAGTTTCAATGTGCACTTGAAGCTGAGACATTTCTCATTCTCATATTTTTTGAAGACTTCTCTGTATTCAAAGGTTGTGCCATTGATGGAATTATTTTACATTTACTATAGAAGCCCCTTAGGGTAGAAGAAGTAACACTTAAGCTATTGTTGCAAGACTGTGATTTCAATTCTCAATAGTGAGAATTGAATATAAGGACAGCGTAGACGCCATTATCTGTTTCCATCTGGTAAAATGAGATTTCTGAAGCAAAAGTAAATCAGTCAGCAAATTTGAGCTTTATTTTTTTAGAACTTCGCATCAAAAGATATCTATAAATAGTGAAAGATAGAAATCATAAAATATTTATATCCATAGTAGCAGAGCTTTATTAGTATGTGTAGAGTAAATGGTTTTCAGGCTTTTCTGCCCTCCCACCATTAGGATTGCCCTGTCTGATGCCCAACAACCTGCAGTTGTTGCATTGTTATGTTGTTTACTTCTGTGGGCCGTGGGAGGAGTACTGAGATAGTCACCAAGAGAAGCAGAAGCAGGAGAGAGGCAGGAGAGAGAAGCGGAGAAAGCAAGCCAGAAAAAAGAGAGAGAAGCCCAGAGTGAAGACTTGCTGGGGGTCTGGAGGCCCCCGCCACCCCTGCCTGCAGTGTACCTGTTTGCCACATTACATCTAAAGCTCAATGAAAGCCTGAGAAAGCCACGGAGGGCTCCAGGATTCCTCCTTTACCCTGTCTGCCAGAACATAGATAACGTGCTTGGTGCCCATCCTGCCCCTACAGTATGAAGTCTTGTATCTCTTGCCTTAGGAAGATTTTTTACTAAAATTACTAATGAAATAAAGTTTAGTAAAGACATATTCAGTATTAACTCATTTCAGAAAATGTTTAAGCAGTTATAAGGTCTTCAAGTTATAAGCTCTTCAAGGGCTTTGTGTAATCACCTTGTATAGCTGTGATGGGTATATTGGACAAATTTAATTATCTATTAAAGGAATGAATCACTTAAGTTGCCTATTAAAAGCATCACAACAAAGCTGCAATGTCAGTCATTCATAGCTGATAAAGCAAGGTAATTATGATTTTAAGTTTAACTGGAAAAAAATAACTTGTGAAGTTAACTGATGAAACCTTACATATTGGGATAACTAGGATCATTTTTGGTGAATGGAGTCTTTTAAAAGTAAATATAAAAGAAATTGCTCAATATAGCACTTACTTGCTCTTGATGTTGACTAAGAGGTCTAGAGTGGACCAATCGTTCTGGCAATTTTCGGTCTAGACCATGTCCATTTTCCAAACGAGACTCTCTGGGTTTGTCAAACCAGTCAGTTTCTTCACGACGCAGGTGATAGGCTTTAGAGACCAAGAAATATCAAGCATTGCAATCCTAACTAATTAAAGAGATGTCCTAAAGTACCAACATGCACCCAACTTATTAACCATTCATGCATTTCAAACACAACTCTCAATGAGATGAGAAAATCTACTTCCAAAGTTATGTTAAAAATAAAATTGCTAAAAAAAATTTGTACCACGGAATAACCTAGAAAAAGTGGTGCACACACCTGCTCAATCTCTAGAGCAAAAGAAAATTAAAACCCAATTCAGGGGCCTCCCCGGTGGCGCAGCGGTTGAGCGCTGGGTTGCGAAGCTGCCCGCAGCCTCTGCAGCGCCGGTTCAATCCCCAGCTGTTCCCCGGCCACCAGAGGAGGGTCCCACATGGCGCGCAGACCTCTCCTGCAGCCCGCTGCTCCCCTCAGCAGTGTACTTCGGTCCTTCTGCCTGCTCTGCTCCCCGCTCTGGCTCTGGTGAATTCTCTCACCCTCCCGTGCTTCTGACTGTACCCAGTGCTTGTATGTATAAATAAATAAATAAATCTTTAAAAAAAATAAAATAAAACCCAATTCAGGAGACAAAAATTTACATAGTGATTGAATAGGTAAATGGACATAGAAATATTCCTCAGAAGTCATTCTATTCAACCTCAGTCCATTAGTTTCTACCTCCTCACTAAACCCCATAATTCACCACTAAAAGTCTAAGAAAAAAATGTATTCCTTAGGTACAGAACTCTCTGTAATTTTCCCACAGTAACAGCAACCAAGTATCAATATGTGGCTGCTGACTATGGAGTAATTTTTGAAAACATGACATTTCTATGGCATTCATAAATAAATGAAAAACATTCATTTCTAAGGCGGCTCTAGATCATTGTCAAGAATGTGTATACCATAAGCACTTGGTAGCCTAATATTAAAATCTAACAGAAATTTTTGTTAAAAATGAAAGTTATTTTCTGTAGAGATCAATGATTCAGAAATTAGATCGAGAAATTACAGTGCTTTTTAAAAAATATTTATGTTTTATTTATACAATAGCTCGGGTACAGGCCAGAGGCGCAGGAGGGTGAGAGGATTCACGAAAGACAGAGTGGGGAGCAGAACAGGCAGATGGACCAAAACACTGCTGAGGGGAGCAGCGGGTGAGGCAGGAGAGGTCTGCAGTGCCATGTGTGCCATCGGGGAGGCCCTAGAGTGCTTTTTGAACTTATAATGTAACAAAAATTGACATTACTTTTTTTTAAATTAAAACATAAAGTACATATTATTTAAAATTTTATATTTCATTAAATTCCTAGTGCTTTCAAGTTACTTTAAAGATATGATTTAATGAATAAAAATGGTATTTTATCTAATATAGTATTTAACTTTCATAGATTGCTTTATTCTTTGTAAATGAAGTGTCTGGGAATAAAATGCTATTCCCAAATTTCAGATGGAGCAGCCCTTCTCAAGTGCTTATCCTGAAAGATGTATTGATGATACTATCAACCCATGCTTTCTTGAAATTGTAGTATCTACAATATCACATTAGAGTTCTCCTCTCTATCTTATGATAGTTTTCTTATTATGTCTACGTCCCTGCTTGTCTTCTCTTCCAGAAATTTCTCCTGTGAGTTACTTCTTACCAGGTCATTTGCTTTATGATGCAGGACTGGCAAACCCACAACACGTGCACCACCACTACTCACCTCTAAGTCTCCTGTGATCTTGTTCAAAGCTGCTGATTAATCACATCACTTACCCCAGTTAACACAGAAAGATAGCTAATGTGTCATATTCAGTTGTAGATTTGATGAATTACATACCTGATATGTGGTTGCACATGTACTTGTCTGATTTCCCTTATTAGATTCTAGCATGCTTGTGGGCAAAGTTCATGTCTTCTCTATTTTCCCACCTCAACACTAAAACCAATGCCTTGCAAAAGTCATAATATCAATGATATTTTGAAATGAAACAAGGAAAAATAAGCCATCAGTTATCGAAAGACGTTTAAGTCCTAATTACAAACAGCACACTTTAAAATAAATATTAGTTTGTCTGTGAACCTCAATAATAGTTAAACTTTTCTCACAATCTACTTGATATTTGTTACTTTTCAGAGCCTTAATTTGATACCAAATAATAATTTAAAAAAATAATAGATTTGATGAATACAAATAAATTCATTAATCATGTTTAAAAATTCATTATTTTATCCTAACCACACTAAATATTACTACTTATATACCTTTATTACATACTTCTTATGAAAACAGTATAATCTAAACTGATTGTTATAAGTAAATATCTTCTCTAACATAGTACGTAATTACACTTGAATATATAACTTTGAGATAGACACACACTTCCCTCACGGTATCTATAAAAAATAAGTTAGAATCTAAACTTGATCCAAATTTTGTCAGTTTATTTCCAATTCTGATTACATTGTTATTTCTTAAAATGTTACATGTAAATTAGAAATGTCTACCAAACTTTGCATAAGAATTTATAGATCAACCAAGAGCAACCAGATGAATGAATTGCTTTTATATTTGATTCCATCTTCATCATCTATAGCCAGTTGTGCATAATTGCTAATTATTTATCGTTGTGATTGTCTGATATGACATGAGGGCTGAATTTTTAAAATTAGATTTTACAATAATAATATTTTCCGAGTTTATAATTTGCTGAAGATTAACATTATCTTTTTTTAGGCTGATAGTATTTTCCTGAATTCTTAAATGTGAAATACAAGTAAGCTATTTTGGGACCTAGCATTTTCACCGGCAAGAATTATAGGAATAGCTTCATTCATATATTGGTCAAAATATTTTTTATAAAAAGAGTCTATATATTGGTTTTTATTGCTTTTTCATGGATTCTATTTTGGAAGGATTTTTCAGCAAAATAGGTAGGTTACAGAGACAAATATATATGCTGACTGTTTCCAACTGTCTTTCTCCAGTCTGTTAGAGAGGGAAGTCTCCTGGTCTATATAAAATCAACTTTGCATGAACATCAAGTTGTGGAATTCAAGCTGATGGTCATGAATATTAAGCAGTGTAAATTATGTCTACCTAGATTTTACTTCAAGTGAAATAATTCACAATTAACACCATATAGAATAAGTCTGAAAAATATATTTACAACCTAGAGGTTAACTGAATTCAGAAAAAGTACACAAGAAACAATGTGAAATAAATTAAATATGTTTTGTCTACATGATACTAAGTAGCCTGTTGGAATGTAATTCTTTTCAAAGTTCTCTTAGTGTCACTCAAATACTGATATAGCATCAACTTGGTATAAATTTGTTCAAAAAATCCTTAATATTGAGGAGTTCATAAATATCATGAGTTAGGAAACTGGTAAACACACTTTCTAGTGTTCAACTTACAAAGAATTCATGATTTAAAAAAAAATTGTAGGGCATTTTCACCCAGAGTAATTAGTTTATATGAGATAAAAACAAAGAAAATATACATTTAAAACATACATTTAAAAAAATAATCACTACAGTTCACACAGATATTATATATGTAATTCAATTTGCTATAATTGGTCTTTGTCTCATTCTATATCAACATGATCTTTATGACTTAATTTCTTGTTCCATTAAATTTTCAAATACACTTTAATTGCTTGACTTTATCTAAATTTCATTTTAATTATTTAATTCTTTAGTGTCATATTTACCCATTTAATATTTTTGTATTCTGCCTGATGCCTCATCATCTACATTATCAGAACATTTTTCATATAATTGGATGATTATGATTTTGTATCATATAGACAAATGAGAAATAAAATATTCAATTATTTTTATATGTTTGTAAATAAATGTCACATTTTGAAATATCTCTACACATCTGTATGTCTGGCACTGTGTTGACAAAATGTCTGTGATAAAGAGATTTAATTTGTTCATCATGCATACAATACCTTAAGGCATTAAATTATGCCTATGTTTAAAAATTCATTATTTTATACTAACCACACTAAATATTACTACTTATATACCTTTATTACATACTTCTTATGAAAACAGTATAATCTAATCTGATTGTTATAAGTAAATATCTTCTCTAACATAGCACGTAATTACACTTGAATATATAACTTTGATAATAATTACATTTGAGATAGATACACACTTCCTTCATAGTATCTATAAAAAATAAGCTAGAATCTAAACTTGATCCAAATTTTGTCAGTTTATTTCCAATTCTGATTACATTGCTATTTCTTAAAATGTTACATGTAACTAAATTAGAAATGTCTTTTTCTAATGTATTTTTTATTTTGTTATTTTACAGATGTGATTACTAAGGAACTTTTTAATTTTCTTGCAGCAGTCAATTTACATGTATAAAATGTGTGTCAAATGTGAATAGTGTAACAGGTAATTAAAAAAGACCATTTCTACATAAGATACCTCTTATTTATATAAGTTCAGTAAACAATTGGCTAAATAAGAAAGAAATAGTGTTTTATTTAATTGGTTAATTATCAATAAAAATGGTCAATCCAAAAGCCCACTGCAGGTGAAAAAACAAATCAGAAAGTGAGTAGTCTGTTGGACTTTTACTAGGGCAAACAGTAAGTCCTCTGATCCAGTGATTACCTTAGTTCTCTCCAAATCTAGATTTGAACTTCTAAAATCATATTGGTGTCTATATACAGAAATAGAAAGAAAATCCTTTTCAAGAAAACATGTTTTCCCAGAAAATTCAGGGAAAATGCTAGGTACAGCATAGGGGAGATATTCATGTTAGGTTAGTGCTCTGCAATCTCCAAAAACATAAATAACACTTTTATTTGATCAGAAATATTTTATTTCTAGGACTCAAACCACATCTACACTAAAATGCAAAACATAGAGTGGGGGTGGTGGTGTTGTTGGAAGCAAGAACCATGAGTTCTCTTGGCATGGGCAAGACTCTTCATATCCCTGCACCACTTCTCTCAGTTCTTCCAATTTGAAATTGGATTAGATCATTCTCTAAAGTTCTTATGGTTCTAAATGGTTGAACAACAATAACAAAATACCACAAGTCAGTTTTTAGCCAAATATGTACTTGCCTTATATAACTTATTCAAAATGAAACACTAATGAAATAATTTAGAGAAAAAAAAAGGTGGGGGTAGGGCTATTATAAAAGTAAAGTGGAGAAAAAGAGCCCACCAGGAGGCCTTCAGCTTCATTTATCTAAATTCACAAAGGAAATATGGGAATTTTCAATTTTAAATCTAAAGACTGTTTCACATATACTGATATGACTACTGATTGTCAACATCATATTTAGCCCTAAACTTTCTAATATGTAATGTAAAATGAACAGCTGTGTCAGTTGTGATATTCATACTGAGAGGGAAAATACTAACCTTTTATTTGAAAAGAATTATAAAAGTTCACATTATACTAACAGTCAAGGACTCATCCAAAATCCTCAAAGAAAATATTCTTTCAATTAATGAACACCGATTTCACAAAATGATAGAATTTCTATTACACAGTCTAGGAAAATAGTACTTAATCTCTAAACTTTAGTAATTTCACAAAAATAAATGACTAAATTTAAAATGCATTTCAAAAAATAAAAGAATCATACAATGAAAACCCTTCCAACTATCAATTTAAAGGATGACCATATTTTATTGACACAATTATTTGATAATTGGAAAAGTGGAAGCCAAAGAAATCAAGCAAACAATCAAGAGAACAATAAAGGAATAAATTAAAAAGAAATGAAGCAAAGCATGCCACAAAATCTATACACAAGATAAAGTTTCCATTTATAAGAAATAAAACTGAAGTAAACATGCAAAAGACATACCAAGAAAAATAGAATACATCCTTGAAGAAGAAAAATCAAACATGCAGAAAAATAAGAGTTTGAGTTTTGAGAGTAACAAGGTAGTATGAGGCCCAATTTACCTTCGCTGTCTGACATAGCATGCTGGAAGTCATCCATGATGAATGCTATGTCACGATCATAGCCTCGAGTCCGTGATTCTTCTCTCATATGTTGTTGAACTTCAGGCAATGAGTGACTTGATCCAAACTGATCCCTGGTGTCTGCAGATATTGGTGGCAGGGGTCCAGCTGCAGCCCTAGCCATTCCCATTGGCTGGCCTACAGGACTGAGTGGACTTTCTTCTTCAGAATTCTGGGCCACAATTGGTATCCTTCCTCTACTCTGGCTAATTGGCAAACTGGTAGGTTTAGTTCTGCCAGAGGATGATGCATGACTAAAGGAAACATCTAGCGCTTCAGCTTCTTGAGCTTTCAGTCTTAGGGAAGAGCTGGAAGAATCTCTTTTAATTGATAAATCAAGCCCGTAGACAGAGGAAGGTCTAGAAGAAGGTCTAGACCTGCTACCACTACTGTATGGCTTATCTGCTTCATCCTGCAGAGCAGACCGTAGGGTATTTCCTAATGTACCTAGTCCTGAGCCAAGAGATGACCCCATAAATTTTTGTTGGTCTGTAATATTTTTTCTGAGGCCAAAAGTTATATCATCTTGAAGAAGCCTTGCTCTGGAAGAAATGCCACCAATAGATGAAGTGCTAGAAGTCATATAGCTTGAATAATCAGGTTCAAGGTCTCTACTTTCTTGAATAGGTGAGAATTTTGACATTTTAGGGTCAATTAATGACTTCTTATGCTTTGACTGCTTTTGATAAAGTATAGCTGCTGGTAGTTGCTTTGCTGCTTGTTTTTCAAGTGTGAGTCTACTAATGCTATACTTTTCAGATTTGGGGAAATGTCTATAGCCAGTATCAGCATGGTAGTAGTGGGAAAGACCAGCAAGGTGATCTAAGCTCTCTGCTCCTCTACGGAATTCTTGTTTAATCTGATGTTTCAGAAGCTTTAACTCATAAGGATCCTCCATTGGGTCTTCCTCTGCTTTCACATAACTATGCAATCTGGAGGAGGTCTGTAAAGGTGCTAGGAAATCTGTCACTTCTTGAGACCTTCGTGTCTCAGTGGTTCGAAGGAGACGGTCTGTTTTTGATATATCCTTTTCATGAAGAGTGAATGCAGTGCCTAATGCTGCTGTTCCTTTGGTAATCTCTCCAATGTCATCAATTAAGACATAATTTCGAGACGTATGGTGGTCAATATCTGCATAGAAAGAATCTGCAGATATGCTTGATATTGGACTGCTTGCCATGCTACTTCTTTCCTCCAATCCGATTCTCAAGTCTAAGCTGTTGTACTTACTACCAAGGTGGGAAACAGCATATGTGTTGTCAGTGGAAACAGGTGCTATCATCAGAGGTTGGTTGCGAATAACCTCATAGTTGGAAGTTATCTTGGGCTCCAAATACAGTGTAGTTTGCCGTGGCTTTTGTTGTATCACCATCATCTGAGATGGTAACTGATAAGAAGGTTGTGGAGTTGGTGTAGGTTGAGCTTGAGGTGTAAAGGACATTGTTGCCACAGCTTGGAATGTTGGCTGAGTCTGATAAGGTGAAACTTGCTGATGGTATAAAGTTTGTTGCTGAAAATGGGACTGTTGAGTGTATGGGGTAGGTGCTTGAGTGGGAAGTGCAGGGGAAGTATATTGGTATTGCGTATAAGGACTTGTAGGAGGAACTAGCTGAGATTCTGTTTGGGTTTGTGGCGGTATGAACTGGCTAAATTCAGTCTGAGGAGCAGTCCTTGGTCTCTCTATGCCATGCTGACTTTCTATTCGGGTGGGCCTGGTGCTGCTCACCTCACTGTCAGACATATAATCCCGATCCTCAGCTACTCCCTGGAGATAGGCTCGCTCTCTCTTTTCTCTCTCCTTTAATAATGCCTCTTTTCTCCTGTTAATTCCCATTTCCAGGTACCGTAACTTGGCATCAATTTCCTTTTCTTCCTCATCAAGTTCAGCTTGTTTCTTTCTAAGTTTTGCAGATTCCCTCTCCACAAGATCAAGCTCTCTGTCTATATCCTGGAGAATCTTGGCTCGTGCCATCGTGTTTGTTCTGCAGATCCTTCTCCTGGAAACTGTGCCCAGTGTGCTGTAAGTAGACTGAGTTCCTGTGGAGGTCTCCTCGGGAGGGGGGTTTGGCAGAGTTCTTTTAACTTTTTTCTGGGTGCCAGATGGTGTCATGGTTTGAGAACCTTTCGTCTAAAATTAAGTAAACAAAATACAGAAATTTATTATCAAGGAAAAATATAAAAGACAGTAAGACGTCAAGATTTACATTTAAATAAGTGACTTCATATATGTTTTACCTATCACAGTATAAAAATATTGTATGTAATGTCACTTGTTGGTCACAAATGTAATTAACTAAGTTTTCCTTTCCTGGTAAATTGAGTATTTATTACCACAACTTCTGTAACATCAGAAGTGAGTTTTGAATCATTTATAGAACTCATATTTTAGGCTCTGAGGAGAACTTTAAAAACGTACTTTGCATTCTATTATGTACTTATGTATATAAGTACTTATGTATATAGATTTCATTTTATTGTTTGAAATTTATTTCCTTGGTTCTTTTTAAAATTTGATTTCCGTTATCATGTATCTGCTCTCTTTATCTACTCTTAATTGTTTAAGAGAGATTATAATCAGAAGATCCTAAAATCAATCTATGTATTTTTCTATGAAATTTAAAATAAATTTAAAATTTAAATCTATGAAAGTTAAAATATTTGTAAGGATATTCACAATGAACAAGCATTGTGAGTCTATGAAACATGGTAGAAAGATTTTGAAATTGGAGCTTATTTCTCTTCACAGTGAAATCTCAAGGACTGAATATGTTGAAGTGGAGCTGCCCAAAGTAGCTCTTTGACATGTTACTTATTCCCTCATGACCTCAGTTCTTTTCATTCTACTTAATACTCATAATAAAGCTTTTTAGGGCTGTTATGGAAGATGAAATGAAACAGGCAACTATATATAATAGTTGGTATATATTGTAGGAATTTATTACAGAAATTTATAGATTTTTAATTCATATTGCAAATCTTTTGCAAAATTTGTGAAAACAATACTCATTATACCTTTTAGCATCAACTGACCATAATAAAATAGTGATGATGAAAATTGAAATCTTATGATTACTTTATTCATGATTTTCCAAAATAACATATTTTCTATTTTTAAAAAGTTTTTCCACAATAACCATTCAGTTCTCTGAATATAATGGTATACAGTAGGAGGCTGGAAATTGTTTCTTTCTCCTTGACTGGCATTTGGTAGATTTGGTATATGTTTGAAACTTTTAAAATTTAGAATGTTCACTTGTGATAATAGGTATTGTTATTCTGAAAGTGTTATGGCATTGCATAACATAGAGACATTTCAAAGTAATGATTCTCCTTCCCATCAAAGGAGACTACAAATACCCACCAATTAACACACCAGTAAATGCTAATCCTGGCAGGGAGAAAGCACACAAACCAAAGAGCAAAGAGGTAACTATGGAATGGGAAAATAGAGAATGAAGAAAAAATTTCTGGGGTGGACACTAACATTTTAAAAATAAATTTTTTATAGTGTAGGAACTCATTAAATGATATACATACTTGTTGAATGAAAGAATAGAGAAATGAAAAAGTAAAACAAAGACTTGCTGCAATTATTTTAAAAGTTCTGAATCAAGAAGTGATTTTAAGAAGAAGGGGAATATATATTAGATCATAGGGGAAAAAATCTATGTGAACTCATAAGAAAGACTATTTAGTACACTAGGAGTAATGATTAGTAAACCAGTAATTAATATCAGATCTTATAATTACTTATTGCTTATGCATGTATACAATGTTTTCTTAAACTCTGTGGTTAACCTAAGTTTATAGTTCTTGAGTTTTTAGGCTTAATCATTCTCAAAATTTTTAAATAATGTATAGGTGACAGAAGTATTCCAGCTATTAGGAATTTCTAATCTCCAGGGTTGCAAATACTTACTGATCCTTCACTTGTGTTAATATTTTGTGTTTTACGGAGATGAGTCCTAGAAGCTGGAGTCAAAGCTTGTAGGAGAGGCTATTTACTGAGTACTCTAAATGACCACTCTGACTTACAAATTGAAATAGTTTTGCAGTTCTCAACTTGGTAATCCAATACTTTTTCTCTGACTATGGGTATAGTCACAGAGTATGAAACTTGTCAATGTTTCAGTCATTTTCTTCCCAAATAAGAGGCACTACAATATAGTGATTGAAAGTTTTGTTTCACAGGCCAGATTCTCTATGTTTCATTCCTGGCTCTACTTATTACCTGCAATGAACTCTTTTGCAAATTGCTGAAACTCACTTCAATTTTCTTTTACATAAAAGGAAGTTAATATTTATTCTTACATTATTGCTTTGTCAAAGAAGTAAAGAAGTTAACATAGTCTAGGTTTTATTTCAGGTGACAGAATATAATGAGAATATGAAACAATATCTTGTCAACTTATAAATAAAAAGAACTGATTTTCAAGACCATAAATAACATTTAAATTTAATATTTAATTCCAATGCAGTCAGCTCATGCAAAGTAAGATTAGAGAATCCTCAAACAATCAAAACAATAGAATTGTTTAGAAATGATTAAGAAATGTATAAAAGAAAGTTCATCATGATTAAAATTGGAGGCCATATTAGAAGTGATAAGATATAGATCTAGAAAACATGGTTTTAATAAGATTTTCCTTGATGACTTTGTAGAAGTTGTTTTTGGAAGGATTTGGTACCCTTAATCTGAATAAAATTGTTCTAAATAATTACATAATTAAATTTAAATAAATTAATTTTAAAAAGGTGGGCAAAGAGCAAAACAAGGAAAAGAAAAAGAAGTTTCCAACAGAATGGAGGAGGAATGTGGACTGAGAGAATAATTAATTTTGATTGTAATACCTAAGCAAATAAATTTCAGGATGTTTTGTTGCCCAACTTATTTTAAAAACATTCTTCTCAGGGGAGTATATTTATATTATGTAGATTATATGTAAAGGAATTGTTCCTTGTTCTGAGGTATCAGAGCTATTAATAAAAACTATAGCTAAGAAATATGGACTTAAAATATATGTATATGCATTATCTCATTGCCAAAACAATCAAAGCTTAATCTAAGAGTTAGACAAGGAGGATATTTATTATTTTTTCAAAAAGTTGAATAATTTAAAAATAGATGCTGTCGAAATTATCTATTGATTGCTCTATAAATTATGGCAGCATTCTATTTACTATTTTATTTAGTAGTTGCTGAGTACAATTCTAAAATGCATTGTTCCAGATACTTATAGGTACAGAACATGTGAAAGAATGAACTTAGACATTGTTCTCAAAAAACTCACAAACCAGAATATTTCATGTTATATGAAAGAATAACTTAAGTTTTGCTAAAATACTCCTGTTGTAAATATCAGAGATGAACTTATAAACAACTGTAGTGCTAGAAACACTTAGAGATGTTTCCTTTTTATAAATATAGGAACTATTATTTGGAAATCAACATTCATTGTGATAATATCTTGCATTTTTAGTTTACTCTTCTTTCAGACAAGCAGGAAATACTTTTATAAAGAGTTAGATGAGGATAAAGAGTGGAGGTAGGGTAACTTTCATAGGGTATAATCTATAAGATTTATCTATATAAGATACCTTGATAGAGATAAAGATCATATAATTTTCTAGAGAAAACACAGCTGCAAAAAAAAAAAAATCATCTACATAATAAGTCAGAAGATGGATCAGGGGACTATAGACAGATTGTATTGGGACCCAGAACAAGGTCTTATATTCAACTTGGGGATGAAAGGATGGATAAGATATAATAGAAAGCCTGGTTCTTAATGATTGGATTTAAACAAGAGAATATTTTCTAAGTGGAGATAATTACGAAATGTAATGTTTCAGAGAAATTTGAGGGGTAATCTGGTTCACTTGAGCCTAATGATGTATTCATACCTATAAGGTAGGGGGATCCCTGGTGATGCAGGCCATTGAGTGCAGTGCTGTGAAGCTGTCCACAGCCTCTGCAGTGCAGGTTCGATCCCTGCTGGTCGCAGAGCAACCCACATGGCGTGGCAGACCTCTCCGGTCTTGCCCGCTGCTCCCCTCAGCAGTGTATTTCAGTCAGTCTGCCTGTTCTGTTTCCCACTCTGTCTCCGGTGAATCCTCTCACCCTCCTGCATATCTGGCCTGTACCCTGGTTCTTGTATAAATAAGTAAATCTTTAAAAAATAAACAACCTCTGAGATAGAAATATATTCAGAAAGTGTCCTATTTAAAAAGAAAAGTAGAAGAACAAATGTATAGAATAAAAATTTTGAAAACTAGATATATAATAAAATCACAATTCATCCATTTTCATCTTTACTAATGGAAAAGGTTATTAATACTGGTGAAATTAACTCCAATATCATGGGAAATACCAGAGCAAACCATCAAACTGAACACGAAATTGTTAGCAATGCACTGTACTGGGTAGCAATCAGCATGGTTTTATCAAAGAGCCAATTGTGACAGCACAACTTAATTTCCTTCAGTGATAATGTGGCAGCCACTGAGACAACAGAAGCAATAGATACAATCTGGTGGGGCTTCTGAAAAACATTTTACATTGTTCCATTATTGTAATTGTACAGTCACCAACATAGTTTTGAAAAGTAAATATATCATTGGTAAGGGATCCATAAGCAGATCATATGTATCAATGCAAGTAACCAATAATGATTTTTAATGTTGGCCATGGAATTGGAGGGTTGTTGTGTGCACTGTAGGGAGGTTACTGGTAACTCTGTCTACTACAAACCATTAGTATAGCCTCCCTCAGTCAAAATTTCAATCACAAATGTCATCCTAGATTGTGAAATACTTCCTAAGGTTGGGGATTAGGTAAATCCCCCACTGGTTCTCTGACTGAGAACCAATGATGTAGAAGGATGAAGAAGAAAATGCTAGTATGTGTACATAACAGTGCCTCAATCTGAACGGAAAAGAGATGACTTCAAAGAGAAACTGGGACTTGATAGTACTTGGAAAACAGAACAAATGAGACAAAGATTGAAAGAACAAAATATATTCTAAGTGATAGCAACACTCTAAGTGAATTGATAAAGACAGGAACATCAGATTATTTTGCCTTGTTATAAATTTGTTTTATGGTCCTAAAATTAATGTCTTATGTAG